AAACTTTTTCTAGAATGATGGCAAAATAAAGACATTTCAGTTAAACAAAATTCCAAGAATTTACCACTAACATACCTCCACCAAAACAAAGGAACTTCTAAAGGATGTATTTCAGGAGGAAGAAAAATGCTTAAAGAAGGAAGGTCTAAGGTACAAGAAGGAGTAATAAAAAAAGAAGTTGGCAATCATGCAGGAAGATGTAAATAAGCATTGTCTATATAGTAGTAAGAATACTACTGCTAATACTGTCTAATTTGTGAACTTCACTAGAGGAAAAAAACTAAAATTTTGGACAAAAATAGCACAAAAGACATAAGGGGAGTAATTTGAGCTAACACTAGAAAGACAGTAAAGATGATAATTAACTTCAGAATTTGTTAAGTAAGCATTGCAATGGTAACCACTAAAAGAGCAGAAAATGTATAATTTTGAAAGCATGAGAAAGGAAAAAAAATTAATTGATTAATCTCTATAACTTTGTTACTTGTGAGTTATGAAACAGCATTAGGCAGCAGACTTTCCTAAACTTAAATTAAATATACTAATAAACTTCTCCCAAAAGAGATGAGATTCTTCAGGGTTAAATGTGATCTAATTGTATTTATTGAATGAGGTTTCACTTGCCTTACGTGGTGGTGTGGACTTCCCAGAATCTAAATCTAGATCGAGGTATTCCACTTGTTTGTCTCCTTTGGGCTTGATCATAGGGCTGCTTCCTCCATCAAGACTGTTACTGCCAAAAAGATTCTGAAAGTATAATACAACCAAATCAACTGCCAAACATTCATAAGACACATTGCTTATCTCACTTGCCATCTACTAAAGCCTAAATATTTATTTCAAGAGGACATAGTTTGAAGAAATGTCTGCTCAGAAAATTAAATAACCTTTTTAGGAATGGAGGAAAATAAGTAATGTTTAAGAAATTGATTAAAACTTCACTTAGAGCAAGCTAAAAGTAGCTTCAAACATCAAACTAAGTTCAGACTAAGTTCAGGAGTTCAAACTACGACTGGGACATCAAGCTGCCGTTAGTTGTGATAGCTCAACCTGAACATTATTAAAATATCTGTACTCAATGACATTTTTTAACTACACAATCCTTATACTCCTTACTTTCAAATTAAATTTTTTAAAGTTTTACTTTTTATTTAGAGGCACTCACACTGAAATTAGTTGAAAATAAATATGCGTTTTTAACAAAGGCCACGAATAATGACTCTCTTGGCAAATCTATTTTGTTTCAAACATCTGGAATTTTTATCACTTAATTTCCTCTGTCTACTCTTGGCCTTATCCCTTCTGTCCTAATAGGGAATTGTACAATNATCTCAAAATATGTTCATCCTCCACATAACACAATTTAGTATTGTCACACATCAGCTGTGTTGTGTGTTTTACACGTTTAGGCACATTTCAATGATTTTAGATTTTATTTTGTGGTTTCATTATAAAACAGCTTGCGCACGCCAAACTCAAACAATCTTTTTTATTTAAAAAAATCCACCTCAAAATTCACGTCTGGGTTTTAGTTTTCGTTTAAAAAGAAGCAAACATTTAAAAGCATCAACTGTTACTAATCTACAATTCATCTTGTTATGAACGTTTTTAGTTTGTGGACTGGGGAAAGAAACCCATTACACATTGATCAGGCACAGTGCTGTGGCCGGGGGGCCAGAAACTGTGGACTCAGGCAACAGTTAGAGGTCTGAATGGAAGGAGTCATGCCTCGGCCGTGGGCACTCCTATCTCTATGCCCCCTCCAGAAACTGTTAGTAAGTCTCAAATCAATACATAGGAGATTGTATGTCACTTAGTTAAAAACAAACAAACAACTATATCTGCTTTCTAAATCACATAGCAAAGCCAGGACAGATAAATATAATTGTAGCCTCAGTATAATTTGTGGTCTTGCTATCCATGTCACAGGACCATGTTGCAGGTGAGACAGAATTATAAGATTCCTCTGGTGGTTTCAGAGATCCGGTTGGAAGAGGTCCATGACTATAAGATTTCACATTATAGCAAGGCTCCAACAGTTCGTGAATTGGGGCAGTGAGTATAAATCACAGTACAAAATCTTTAATTATTTTACTGGAAAAGCAACAGGTGCTACATGTGAGAATCCCTTATATAACATCTATTTTTTGTTAAAAAATGCAGATATAAAATATTAATTGCATAGGGATTTAAATATAAGGCCAAGAAGAATATTAAGTAAAGTTAACAAAAAAATCATAGAAAGGGCACTATGGTGTCAAAAGACAGAATTTCATTCGTAGACCAATAAATCTGAATTACAGTCTAATTAAAAATCACAGTATGTTGCTATAACTAACAGTGAATGTCAACTGTTTCATTAATTCCCAATTGGAAACAAAACATTAGAACTAGCAAGAACACAACTAAAGCTTACTGTCTAAACCTGATCAGTGTATTAGCACATCAGTGCCTGGTACGTACCTGATTAGTTAGATAAACTACATTTTACAAATAATGTAAAGTTTAATTCATGTTAACAAGTATGAGAGCACATCATCACCTCATGCCATCAGTGATTTGCAGGCTTACTTGATAGTATAATTATTCAGTCTTTCCAAGGTGCAAGATCCCACCCTGCAGAATCTTCACTCAATGAACCAAGAACACTGTAATTAACAAATAGAATAAAGTTCCACCATTGAGAACTAACTGTACATGAGCCAGAGAACCATTTCCTAATACCTAGTACATATATTATTCGTAGCATCCTGGAAGGCAATGAATGATTGATTCCAATTCTACTCTGTAGTTTAATGATTACCACCTAAAGTTTCAGATCAGAAGGTAAATTGTGAATCTACTTCTCATTTAAACATTAGACTGCAGTTTAAAGAGCAATTTCCAAATCTAAAAGTAGCTTAGTTAACTTAGTATTGTTATGTAGTGTGAGGAGAAACAGGAACTCCCAAAGGAATTGTGTTAAGGTACATTTGGGAATACCCCAACCAATGTTTTAAATGAAAAAAGTGCATAAATACAGTAATCCTACAAGTGTGTTAACTACAGAACAAATGTTTCTCTGGGAGCTAAACAATAGTATTTTCCCATATTATTTACATGTTATGAATTGTTCAGATACCACAAAGCACCGTTTGACAGTCTACATTGCTTGATTATGTCTGAAAGGTCCTTTGACTTCAACTCTACTCAGTTGAAGATCTACCTAGAGTAGAAGTGTCAAGTCATCTTCAATCAAAGAGGATTTATCTTTACAATTCAGTTCTCTTTTGTTCAGACACAGCAGAGCAATATTTTCATTTCACACTCTTGGTTGGTGTTTCGGATTCCGTGGACTGTCTCCCATCTGTCCAGGCTTCTCGGGTGCTCTTTAGAGCTAGGGTCTTCTGCTGGTCAACCACAACATAATCCACTCTCTCATCTGCTACACTGCTTCCTGAGCCACTGCTCTTTTGCTGAAAAANTGTGGCAACAGTATCAGCAGCTTTTCCTATTTATTGGGCTGTCGGAAAAATCACGATGTATTTTTTCTGTTTTTCGTTGCAAAAATGCGTCATGACTTTTCCGACAACCCAACAGTGTGACTATTGTATTTTAGCTTGATTTAGTGAGATCTTTGTTGCAGAAAATAAGTGACCCTATAGAAGTAGGACTGGAAAGTCTAGTTAATGGCAGAGTTGGATTTTTGATTCAGAAAGACTGTAAGACAGGGTTGAAAATATAAATTTATATGTCCTTACTGATTCATAATCACAGTATCCAAATTGTTTGAAAAGTTTATTTGGTAGCAGAAAATATCTACAATTGGATCTTTACAAAAGATGTGCAAGAGGGGAGAGATAAAATTTACACATAAGATTTTGTTGTTGAAATTTGGGATGACTATCAACTATTGATTTAGGTTATAAGAACTCATGTAAAGCCATGTGTTTTTACGTAAAGGAATCAGGAGCTAAATAGTTTGTTGAAACTCAATAGATATTATACTAAACCTAAAGAAAGATAAGTCTATGGAAGAAAAGACAAACTAAATTATTTCAAGCTGCAATATATAAACATATTTAGTCAGACTAAAATCATTTATTTCCACAACCTGACAATTGATTTTTCATCCTATCAAGTCCATGATGTTTCTACTATTCACTTATCCCATGGATTTTCATCTCATAGTTCTCAGTATTTTAAATTATATACAGATTTACATATATCAGACGTTATGAATAATAATTCTTATCCTGGGATATGTCTTTCTCTGTGTATCCACTTGATTTGGTCATAGGTACAATCTCTGTCACGGACCTGCTTGCTTATGTGACAATGGAGGACTAGACCTACCAGAATGACCCAAAGAGAGGACTATGAAGAAGGGGCCTGCTTCATTGTTTCTAAAATTCTGAAG